TTGTAATCCCCTCATCTAGAGGAGTAATTCTCCATTTTAGTTTCACATCAGAATTATCTTGGGAGCTTTAAACACATATAGATACCTAACCCTTCCTCTGAAGATTCTTGAGTAATCTGAAGTAGGGTTTTCAACACCCGTATTTTTATTGTTGCTTTTTGTTTTAGAGCCCAGTTCTGCTCAGGGATTTCTCATGGCCCTGTGCTCATGAATTGCTCCTATCAGGGTTTGGGAGGCCATATGGGGTGTCAGGGATCAAACCCAGGTGGGTTGTATTCATGGCAAGTAGGACCACTTGTACCATAGCACTAGTCCCATCAGCAGTACTTTTTAAACCTTCCAGTGAACCTAAAGGGTCATCTGGAAGAATCCCTGGGTAGAGCAGCTGCTAATGCACAGATCGCTAGGCCTGCTGGGTTTCCAGTGACCTCATAGGCATTGAAGGAGGTGGGATGAACTGTAGAAGATGGTGGTCAGGGTAGCACAGGTGACCAGTACATGGTGCAGTGAGACAAGCACAGGCTTCGGACTGGATGCCTAGTCTCCTTTTCATGCTCTTTCTTGAAGATCTGATACTGTGGTGGTGGGAAGGTGGAGTGTATGTGGACTAGTTAATTTAATAAATTATTTGAAATCTCCTCTGCAGAAAAGGCTTCCAGTCAAACTAGGTAGTGGGATGACTGGGGGTGGCAGATAAGAGCAAATTAAAGGAAGCTCCCAGCCAGGAAACTCTCTTTTTTCTGTTCACCTAAGCTCAGACATCCAGGAGGACAGCAGGGATCTCACATGGCTGTAAGTAGAGACTAAGCCAAGGGAACAGGGAGTCACTGGGGTACACTGGATAAAGAATGGTGTAGAGACAAGATGAGGTCATCATATCCTGGGGGCAGCAGATGGCAAAGAGCAGGACTTTGGGCATATACATTGGCCTGTTGGACATTGCACATGGGTAAAAGGCAAGACCTGGACATTGGGGAGGGGCCCAGACCATCTACTTGAACTCTACAATAAACTTTAACTTCTTTGGCTTCTTCTGAGTTTTGTATGCCAATCTTTCATGCAATTCTTCTAAAACCCACAAAGTTAGGAATACATACCACTAATAGAGTTAGGGAAGCAAAGCAGAAGCCACTGAATGTTTGGGATTCCATAAACCACCCTTCATATGAAAACAATGATCTCTTTCTCCTCCTCTTTTCTCCTCTTTCTCCTGAAGTGCCTGAGTGTCAAGGTCATCCAACTGTATAACCCCTCTTAAAAACTGTAAACTAAAAGGGGTTCAGGGACCATACGGGGTCCCAGGGATCAAACCCATGTCAGCAGGCTTTCTATATGCTATACTCTCTCCAGCCCTTATTTAAAATGTTTTAGGTTATATATTTTACCATATATCCAGGTATTTCCCCAATATCTTTTATTCACCTGTGATGCCAAGGTCTGAGGCAGAATTTATGGTCTTGGGGAAATTGTAAATTTCCCAAGTCTCAGAAAGAGCCTAGGAATTTGAAGAAATATTAAAAATGTGGAATGGAGATAGCTCAAATGGAGATGTTAGCACAGCTGGCAAGGGGAAACTGAGACAAGGAAGGAAGAAAGGAAGGAAGGAAGGAAGGAAGGAAGGAAGGAAGGAAGGAAGGAAAGAAATGGGGAAGGAAATGAGTTTCTGCAGAGGATGAGGTCCATTCTAGGTCCTTGTGGAGAGATAGTTCATTTTACTGACTTGGGAAAAGGTACAGGAAGGCACAAATGGTTTGGGGGCATAGGATTTAAGATTCATATGTGGACAGAATAAGCTGTGAGACATGTAGATGGCTGTTTGATAGGGAGGGTTCAGATGGATGTATTCCTGTGCACTCAGTAGGTGTAAGAGGGAAGGAACAAAGCAGAAAACAAACAAACAAACAACAACAACAAAAAACACAAGTAAGCGTTTTGAAGTCTACACTGAACAAATGGAAGTGATCAGTCTGACACAGCTAAAGAGTAAATAGTCTAATTAAAGGGAAACAAGTATCTACATGTGTATGAGGAGAGACGGAGAAGATCCAACACCATATACCAGGAGCCAAGCTGGAGTTGGAGGCTGAGCTATAATGCACAAGTCAAAGAGTGCTGTGGCTAAGGCAGTCAAACAAGGCAGTTGAGATGGTCATAGTAATTCTAGGGCACAGAAGATTCTCTGTAATTCTCTGGGATATCTTAGGAGTTCTTCCTGGGCTATTCACTCTAGTCCAGTGAAATATGATATAAGAAAGCTGGAACAATAGCACAGGGTGTTTGACTTGCACGCGGCCAACCCGGGTTCAATTCCCAGCATCCCATATGGTTCCCCGAGCGCCGTCAGGAATAATTTCTGAGCGCATGAGCCAGGAGTAACCCCTTTACAACGCTGGCTGTGACCCAAAAAGAAAAAAAAATTTCCTGCCAGATACCAGTTTGGGAATTTTGGAGAAAAGTAAGCTGAGAGCTGAGAGAGGCATTTAGGAGAGGCCTGGGTTATGGTCTTGCCATCACCAGGCAATTGGTGCTGAAGGAATTTTGGGGAGCTCTATTGTGGCAGGACTCAAAACAAGGGCTGATTTCTAGGAAAGTGAGAGATGGAGATTTTAAAGGAGAAGATACTGTCAATCTGTAGTTCCAAATCTGCATGCTAAGAATAGTGATTCCATTGTCAGAAAATTTCAGCCTGATAAACTGGATCAGAGAAAAGATGATCTGCTTGAGATGCAGAATGAGATGTCCAGACAAGTCTTACAGGTGAGAATAGGTGGTAGTGAGTGGAAATACTGGACAGAAATTCTGGATAAATTGCTAACTCTGGTAGAGCATTTATAGAGTTAGTATGTATATTGAGGAAGATGATGTGAAGAGAGAAGTAAGATAATTCAGGATGAAAGTAGGGTACCGTACTCAAAGAGCTTATGCCAATGGAGGAAACTGTACGATGTTCTGATCGAGAGAACATCTCTGAGGACAGAGACTGTAACAAGCAAAGAGAATAGGAGTGAGATCAGTTCCAGGAAGGCTAGTTTCCAAAAAAAACCAGCTTTCTTAGATTCCTTGCTAGAAATCTTGCCTATCTTCCTACAGGAGATATAAACTCCCCTCAAAAGTGACTTTTTCATGATCTTTTATGACAGTCCAATTTACTTTGAATTTTTCCACTACTTGGAGAATCTTTTGTATATACTTTCCCACTTCTTCTTGTGGTATGGGCTAACAGCCTCTCCAGTTGTATGGAAGTAACTGGAAAGTTTTGTTTCTTATCCTAAGGAATATAATGAATATAAAGATATCCTCTTTATATTAGCAGGAAGTTCTGACTAGAGCTTAGATCACAGCAGAGGGTTCAGCAGTCAGTGGGAACTTTTTGTGTGAATCATGTCATATGACAAACCTGCATAAATTCTTCAATAGTTTTCCATCACATTAGGAGAAAGAACCAGGGTTAACATTTTCCCACATGCAGTTGACAGGGTAGCTTATTTTCCCGACTCTCTTCCTCCACTGCTCTTGAAGTGAACATCTCTGTTTCTGTCTCAGAGTGCTTAAACTTTCTATTCCTTCTGCTCTAAACGTTCTTTCCCTAAAATTTCACTTCTTTCCCCACACTGTCCCCTCCTAGCTAATCGCCTGACCTACAACAGCACAAATCAACTTTGCATGAGATTCAGAAATACTCTTGGTTGCATTTGTGGTTTATTTACTCTGCTGAAGATATATGTGCGTTTTGCATTTGTTTTTATTACAATATTGGTGAGAATTAGAATTTTTGACAGGACAAAATTTTGGACCATTCAAATAATTGTTTTCTCAAATACAGAGTGTGTTTTGGATGAATGTTACTACTGATGTGGAAATTGTGATAGAAACATCAATGGTATAATTTTTATTACACTATTATATAAATAGAATTAATAGAAGGACACAACAAGTCTCACAATGGAGATGTTGCTGGTGTCTGCTCGAGCAAATCAATGAACAACTGGAGGACAGTGCTACACTATGTTATAAGATTGGATATGCGTAACAGCATGTATGAGTATGTGAAAAAAGCAACAAATTAACTATAATGTGAACAAGGCCAAGAAATTGGATTAGGTAGGGAGAAATTCAATGATATTGATAGTATTATAAATTGATCAATAGGCGGATATATTCAATTTCAAGTGATCAGCAAGTTATTAAGTTTCATAACAAATTGTGGAGCACATTTTTATATATAAAATAAAATATAATTTTAAACAAAAAATTTACATCTTTGTCACCATTTGGGTTTACCAAATAGCTCGCCTTTAGCAAGGCCTTCCCTGACCACTTTCAGCAAAGCTGCACATTTTCAACAATGCCCTCCCAATTTTGATCACCCTCTATAGTATTATAAAATACTTTCCCAAGACATGAGTCAGTAGGAAAATTATTTTATTTGTTAGTGCTTTTCTTCTTGCTCTTCATTCAAGCTTTATGAGTAGAAGAAATTTAGTCTGTCTCATTTCTAGCCATATCTGTCCAACACTGGAAAAGTTCCTGCTATATTGAAGGTGCTTCCTCAAAACTTCTGGTTTCCGACCAACTGAAGGCTATTGGAAAGTTTCATACCTCTGACCCTTGGATTTTCTTTCCCTGTTCTACCACTCTCCCAACTATATCCTATAACTTCCCTATTTAAATTGCACTCCATTCTTTGTCAGAAAACTCTATTTCCTTAAAAATTATTTCAGTTTCTAATTCATATATATGTACATATCAGTAGACTCTAAATTTGAACATAACAAAGATTATATATCAAGTATACTTTGATGTATACAACATGACTATCACATATTATGCCAAACTCATAGTAGGTGCTCATATGTATTATACTGAATGAATATTAAAATATTATGAGCGCCTTCTGGGTTTACCCATAGACTAGAATATTTTTAAAAATTGTGAAAGTTTGGTAGATTCCTCTTTGGAAAATTCATATTTTCTTACTCTGTCTAGGTCTTAGGTCTTGAAGAAAGGATGTAAAATTCACTCTCTTCTAGAGGAAGATATCTGTGTCCTTTTCTTCTACAGGACAATTTGACAAGTGGGATGAATCTGCCCCTGTCCACAGTGAAGGAGGAGACATCCTGGGAATACTATACTCTGAGGAAAATGGAGAAAAGGCAGCAATATGGCTGTCCTCTGAACAAGTAGCCTGTTGGCCAGCATTTGAAGAAAAGTCAGTTGTGGGGTTCATGGATCCATGAATTTTAGCACAAGGAGTCAGGCTGGTCTTTTCTTCAGTCCAGTTAAATTGATGGAGATTGGTATTTTGTTCAGATTTTCCAGTGAGTAGCTCAAGCTGCTAAAAAGAAACAATAATAAGAGTGAGAAACTTACCCTATTTGCACCAAGCACCTAAGTCAGATTTGTGGGAATGATGTTAATGTTGGCAGATTCCCTGAAATGGGTTCTGTGACATTGAAGCAGTGTGTGTTTCTTGTTCTAAGTGAGAAAACAGGATAATATTAATAATTTTGTTTGTTGGGCAAAATGGAAAGATTGACACAAGAGTTACTTGGCCTGACTTATTGAATCACCATTAGCTCTCCAGGAACCTTGAATAGAACAAGTACTTCTCTGGTTTCCATTTTATCATACTTGAAGGTTATTGGCACATAATTCTGGAATTTGAAATTAATAGACAACAAGGCTTCTTATTGAATTCATCCATTCTTTGGGGGACAGGAAATAGTTCAATTCTGCACCTCATCTTTCATACCAATAGAATCTCTTCTCTGATTTGCTGAGCCCGGTCTCCTAATTGAAATTCTAGTTCTTTCATCTGCTGCCACAAGGCCTCCCGTAAAGTTTGCAATTCCTCCGCCTCCTCCCTGTGGGTAAATAACAAAACAACAAATTTCACAGTCACTTTCAGATGCAGTCTTTCACAGTCTCCTCAAAACATACATTACTCCTTTGATAAGTCTTAAAGGAAATAGGTGGATTATGCCAGTTGCTGGCTTATAGATCTATTTCTCGGCCTGATTTTTCTAACTTAAAAAATTGTATTGAAATTTAATTTTTTCATCTCATTTCATTTTATTAGATACTAAAGAACCATGGTTTACATGGCTATTTGTAGCTGAGTTTTAGGAGTACAATGTTCCAACACTGATTTTACCACCAGTGCCTATTTCCCTCCACCACTGTCCTCAGGATTCCTCCCCATCACCAGCCAGCCTCCTTGACAAGCACAGTTTTAAGTTCCAGCATTGTGGTTTGGATTTCATCTCTACAGTATTGTTGGCTCAGTAGTTTATCAGTATAAATATACCTTATCTCTACACTGATGATGTGTTTGAGGACTCTGAACCTTACCCTATTACCTCCTCACCCTCTCTTCTTATTACCCTCCTCAGTTTTTTTCCTTACTTGTCCCTCTCATTTCTATGCTTAAGGGTCAAGGGTAATCTGGGCATTCCTCCCTTCCACCCACTGTTTGAGACCATGCATCTTCTCTTATTGTTCTTCCATACTCTGCAGATAGTTGAGATCATCCAGTATCTGATGCACTTATTTTAACTTTTTTTTTTAAAAAAAATTCTTATTGAGATCGAAAGACAGTGCAGGGAATATGGAGTTGCCCTGCACACCACAGCCAACCCCAGTTCAATTCTGGCACCCCATATAGTCCCGAGTCCCTCTAAGAGTAATTCCTTAGCACAGATGAGTATGACCCCTCTCAAAAACAACCAACTAACAAAATAATTTGCATATTATATAGTCTACCTATTTGAAGAATGAGTTTGATGATTCTTAGTAAATCCACCAACTTATGTGACTGCCACAACTGTCCAAGTTTGTTCACTTCCATCTAGCCAGTAAGAAATCTCTTGCCCCCTGACTAATTCCTAATCCTATCCCTCAGCCCCAGAAAACAGCTAAACTACTTTTGATTAGTCTAATTTCTGGTGACACATATCTTTTTTTCTTTGTGAAAATGATATAGATTTCCCAAACTCATAACCCTCAATATTTGCATTTCTGTTAGCCTCATTCATATTGATTAAAGATATCCCACTGGCTGAACCCCATCTTTCAACTCACAGTCCATTTTCTGACCTCAAATGGGTCTGGTCTTAAAGAGTAAGTATTGCTATCAAGCCAAAGACTCTCACAGACACCACCAAGGAAGCAAGAATAAGAGCAAGATGCAGAGGAAACCTCACCCAATTTCTTATTAGATTACTCTGGGTGTGCATCTGTCCTGCCCTGATAACCTTTCTTTTCCCCAGGTGTGTGGACTTGTACTTACTTTTATGGCTCCCTTAGATAATTACCTTTCCTCTTCTGTCATGTCTTTAGAAAAGAGGGCCTGTTGTCTTGTATGGTGCTTTTCAACTTCCTCTAGATGCTCTCGGAAACTCTGGCACACCATCTTCATAGCCTCCATCTCCTGGACCGTGCACTGAGAACAGAAAGGTCTGAGAAGGAAGAGCTCTGACTCACTCAAGCATTCCCCACTATGGAGACTGCCTTCCCGTAGAAACTCGCCTGTTTGCAGCAAAGTTCTGCTGCGGTGTGTGGGGAAGTGAATAGGGAAATCCGAGTCTTTGACTTTGTAAAACAACTAGAGGCCGGGACAGAAAGAGTACAGCCTTCAGTTGGCCCCTGAAGACCTCATATCTGGAAACAGGAATGAAGTCTGGAGAGCATGGTGATGTGTGTGGGAGGGGTGTGAAGTGGGGGGGGGGGTGGAAGGGTCATACTGTTGGTCTGTTCTTAGGAAAGTTGAATCTTGTTTATACTTGGCTAACATTGGTTCTGAGTCCTACCTTATTCAGTAATCTGGAATATATCCATCTGAATGGTATGTGTTTGATTAGCAAAAGTCTTGCAGATTATGCATTACTAGTCTAAATCCTGCCTAACTATAATCCCTAGAGGTTGAAAAATAGAGAATCAAATTTACCCAGCTAACAATCCCATGCAGGGTTAGGTGAGCCTAGATTAGACATTCCATCCTGGCCGTAAATTGTAATGTAGGAGTGAACTGTCAACTCTCCCAATTTTACTCCTTTACATTGCTGCTGATGTGGGTCATTCTTTAAATATTACTTTTTGAGACTGTGCAATTGCTTTGTCTGATTTCAATATCTGTTTGCCTCTACTAATCCCAAGCCATTTCTCAGAAGAGCAGAGGATTTGGTTGATTCTTACCAGTTCTCCTTGATTTCCAGTTCTTACTGGCCCATGTTTTTTTTTCCTTTTTGGATAATACTGGTGATGCTCAGAGGTTACTCCTGGCTCTGCACTCAAGAATTATTCCTGGTGACCTCGGGGACCACATGGGATGCCAGGGATTGAACTCAGGTCAGTCGCATGCAAGGCAAACACCCTACCCACTGTATTATCACTCTGGCCTCAATGGTGCATGTTTTGGTTGGTTCATGAAACCCAGTCTCCACTATGCACTGAACTCTGAGTGATATTAAAGCTTTTTCAGCCTTGGCTCTCTATCAGGCTGCTTTGGGACCCACCCTCTCCTAGATTAGTATGGCAGAAGTTTCTAATTGTCTAATAGTACCCTCCTTATTCACACTAACCAAATTCCAATGCTGTAGGGCCAGCAAAGTAGATGCTTAAAAAAAACCCTGTGTATTTCTAGCAGCCCACACAGATAAAATCATAATTTCTTTTCCTAGACTATATTTTCCAAGAATTTGTTGTCAGTTGAATTTGAAGTCTGAATACGAATCACTTAGTGTTGGAAAAGTTGAGAAAATTACATTAAGTTCTTATTTCTTCATCTAAAAAACATGGAGACTTGACACATATTAGGAACTCAATAAATATTTAATGCTTGGACAGAAATGAGGGTCAGCTGACATAAGACAGTTAAATGGTTAGCATAGGCACTGAACGATTATTGTGGAATTAAAAAAAATAGGAAAGCAAGTTGGCAGACACCAAACAATAGGTTTCATGCCAATTGAGTTATTTTCACTTTCACTTGAAAGCTGTAGTCCTCTATTACCTCCTCTATTACCATTTGTTTTACCCTTTTATTACTCTCTGTGTATTTTTAAATGTTATACTCTTGGCTTTTTAATCAGTAACTAACTTGACAGCCTAGATCATTTATCACCTTGAGAATTGTTGAAGAGGGGGGCACTGGAAAGACTCATTAAATTCCTATTGATTTATCAGCAGCTGAACGAAAATGAGGGTCAGTCAGGTCTCAGTAACCCACTGTTTGCTTTTAAACAAACATAGCAAAAGCCATACTTAAAGCTTCCCTTTATGATATGAGGTATTAAGTTCAAGATCTCAACAAACAATAAAGTAGTAAGGAAATTTTGCAAAAACAATTACCAGTTCATACCTCCACATCCCCAGCCCCAGGCCTATGTATTGTTCCCAGTCTACACCACTTTATCTTGAATTCTATGTGCCAGGTACTATGCTGAGTGAGTATACAAATTGTTTCACATGCTTTTCTTCATTTAATCTTAAAACAATCTTATTTCGGTGGCATAAATAGTCTCCTTGTTTTTCAGAACAGAAACTAGGTATAGAGAAATTTAAATGGTTTGTATCAGATTATATTACTAGGTGAATTTAAGACTCAAAATAGGAGAGGGGGTACAAATGCATTCATATTTATAACTTTCCATATGAATTTATTATTCTATGTTCCTGTGGAAAATAGGGGTTAATAATAAAATTTGGCTTTCTTACTTTACAAGGCTATTGGAAGTACCAAATAAGAAGGATTAAGAAGAGTTTGGTAAGGCTATATCATAGACAATCATGCACTCTATCAATCTCACTCATGATTTGAAGTGGCATTGTCAAATCTTAGCGCATTATTCCAAAAGGAAGGCTGAGCAGTCCCTTGAGGTGTGAGAGGTGCAGCTGCCTTCCTAACTTGGTTGAGCTACTTACAGAGCACAGCTCTCTCACTGTAGTTTCTTGCAGAGCTTTCAAGGTCTTCAGGAACTGGGCTTCAGTATGATGATTGTGTGAGCAAGGGCAATGCTTGCAGGCTGAAGGCACTGGGGCGGGGCTTTGTCTCTGGGGGTGGCAGTAAGGATGGTGATGACAACAGATGCAGTGGCAGTGAGCAGGTACAGCACAGCAGATACTCACTGGGCGGACAGTTGGTAAGCCTGTGTCTAGAGAGAGAGATTTGGTGAGGGGCTGGGCAGCACATATCAAGGCCTTGTTACTTAACGCTGAATAGCAATGCCAGAGGCTGGGTTCACATTGATCAGTCTGAACAGAAACATCATTGAATTGTCTTGCTACTGGTTCTACTGTGATGACATGGTTGCACAGAGTGCATTCTAAAGTTGCTCCTCTAGAATCAGTACGCAACTCCACTGTCTTCTGAATTGCTGATGGCTTATTGGAGGACAACTGGATTGATAAAGACTTAGAGCTGTTGGTGTTGGAGTCAGCATTTGAAGGAGAACTTTTCATCTCTGATTCTGGTCCAGGGGGTGTTTGACCCAAAGCTAGACACCGTGGCTTCCTTTGGGGTGTATCTCCAGCCAATTCACCAAGTTGGGGAATGGACTTTTCAGATGTTAAAACAAACTCAACTGGATGAGATGTGGCTTCTTTGGACTCAGGGCCATTTGATGGCAGACTTTTTCTTGGAAGTGAGTCACTGTGAATGTCAGGACAAAACTGACTGCTTTCTGCTTTTTCTAGTATTGCACAGTTGATGCATAAACATTTGTCTTGAAGATAGTCAATCTCAGGTGATCTTTGAGGCTCATGGTGGTAGCTTTGCACATATACTTCTCCAGCTCCTTTGGATCTTGGAGACCGATCATTCACTTCTGTGCTGTGGGACACCAATACTCCTGGGGCACATTCCCACTTGGAAGTAACTGTGCTTATGTCCACATCATTTTCTTTCCAGGGCATTGGTATAGGATGCTGCAGGTGGTGGTCTGTCCTTCGACATTCTACCTCTGTGCAGGTCTCGTCTGGAGCCATTCCTGGTGCCCAGTGCTCTGGTGGCTCCCTCATGTCCTCAAACTGAGACTGTTTCTCCACCACAGGTAAAGAGATCTTTTCTTCCAAGATACTCCAGTCTTGACTTGAAAAAGATGTGCTCGCCATACTCTTGGAATCAGATTCATCAGATTCTTGATGGAAGTCCTGGAAAGACTGCAAGCTGTGGCTCTTGTCCTCTGACATAATGCATCCATTCTCAGCAGAACTTTGACTGCTTGGCAAAAGTGGCATCTGCAGAAGAAACTGGGAGAGAGGCACATGGGTCAGACAGGGTCAGGTATTAGGTTTAAGAGTGTTTGTGAAATGTGAAATGTTTCCTAATATTACATAGGAGCCTTTCCATGAGGGTTGTAAATTCAAGATTCCATCAAATACTGCTGTACCTAGGACCTTTCTACCTTGAAGTTCAACTTCCTTACTGAGAAAATCCAAAAAGTAATTGAAAGTTGAGCTTCCTAGCACCTTGTCTAGGATGTCTTCCTTATCCCCAGCCCCTTAAATGTCTGAGCATGTTTCTTCTAAGTGTGGGTTAGCAGTTCCAGGTACAGTCAGATGCTTTCCTTCAAGTCCTAATTCAACCCAGGTGGCCATCTACCTGCAGAGCTGATGGTTCCAGTGGTTCCTCAAGGAAGCCGCTGCTGTCAGACTGGCAACTGTTTGCTCTGTTCATCATGACACCTGGAGAGAGAGAGAAAGAGAGAGAGAGAGAGAGAGAGAGAGAGAGAGAGAGAGAGAGTTGGGATCAGTAACATGAACAGGCCACAGTGGGCATAAGATGAAACCCTTAATTTGCCTTACATGCCACATATCTTCCATAAATGCCTATTGTGGGACAGAATAAATAAATGACAAAGTTACAAGGACATCTTTTTCTCAATTGTGAGGAAGTTCACATAAGATTGTCTCACTGGATACCTAAGTCATGTAGTAAATCGCAAAAATAGAAACTCTAAAATATTGTTAAATGAATGACAATATAATTGTGAGATGCCTCTTCACTAAAAACAGAAAGAAACCCAGATGCCTGAAATGTCACACTAACAAAAGAACATCATTTATATGTATATATAAACCTATATATCTGTATCTATGTCTGTCTCTGTATCTTCAAGTTTCAACCTCTGCATATCTATCTATTCATCTGTCTCAGAGAACTGAATCTTTATGTATTGCCTCTGGTGGAAGAATTGGAGAAGTAGTTCTACAATCACAAAATAATGATTCCAATACTATTATCAACTATGATACCTCAACAACTGTAGGAGCAACAGCAATAACAAAAGTCATGACATCAAAGTGTAATCCCCAGGGCTAAAGAGAAAGCACATTGGGAGCTTTATGGAAAGTCAGCTATGAGCTGGTCGTGATGGGGCGACTAAAAGCTTACGGGAAGGGGGGCGTTCGCGGCTCATCCTTCACGCCCTACCGAGGTCACCAGTTGCCCCCCACAAGCGGCTCTCCGGCACGGCCATGGCTCCAGAGCACAGAAACCAATCTCTTAATTATCTGACTCTCAGCAGAAGTACTTCCAGAGTTAATAAGTAAAATAGCAGAAATCTAAAACCATTTGGACATCATTTAATTCTTGAACCCATCTGTAGAAAGCAAATCATTTCACAATGCCTTTTCAGCATGTCTGATTTGGGGGTGAAACTCTAAATAATAATGGTGCATCTTTTATCAAAACAATGAATCTAGTCAAAGTAGATAGAGTGTTAACTAGAATTCATCTGCCTCACAGGCATTGGGAGGGGTGGGGGTAGGGGTTTATTGGGGTTCTTCGTGGTGAAAAATAAGTATTGGTAAAGGGAAATGTGTTTGATATTTGCATGATCAAGACCTAAACCTGAAAGCTCTGTAACTTTTCCCACAGTGATTCAATAAATAAATAAATTAATGAAAAAAATAAAGAGAAAGCACAGGGTTGATGCATTTTTCCATTCATGCAACTGACCCAAGTTCCATCCTTAGTATGCCATATAGGCCCTGGGCACTACTAGATGTGACCCAGGAGCACAGAGCCAGGAGTAACCTCTAAGCATCACTCCAAACCTTTCTCACCCTAAAAATAAACAGGAAAGCAAACAGGTGATGGTATGAAGAGGTGTGCCTTTTGGGAATGATTCATGAGGGCAGAACTCTCATGAATGATGATAGTGCTTATATGAAAGGGAACCCAGAGAGTTCCTTCCCCTTCCAGCTGAGAACATAGAGAAGAGACTTCCATCTGTGTGCTCTCAACTTACACTATCTTCTGGTTCCTTAATCTTGAACATCATGTATCCAGAGCTAAGCCATAAATTTCTGCTGCTCATAAACCACCCAAGCCATGGTATTCTGCTCTACATCCTGAGCTGAGAGTGGTACACACATTCTTTTTTTTTCCCCACAGTAAGTACGAGTCCTTTAATAGACTCATCTGGACTGTTTGTACAAGTCAGAGCTCCGTTTCAGATTGTTGTTCTTGTCACCCTCAGAGGCTGGAGGGGCTGATAAGAGAATGTTAAATGTGGCAGGTGACAAATCTCTAAACACTAGTATTTTGAATTTATATTTTTTTGGTAATATCTTATAAAATATTATATTTGTAATCTCATAAAAATATGGTTACATTATAGATCTGGAGGAAATGAGTGTCTATGTAAATTTATTGAACTGAATTTTAATAATTCAGCCTCAAGTAAAAGACAGAATTAGAGATGCTATTTTTTTGTTTTTTAAGCAAGGGTTGGGGGAAATAATATTTATAACATTTTTAGGCAGGGGTCTGGGGTGTGGAGGTTGAGTTAAATACAATGCTCAGAGATCACTCCGGAAAGAGCCTGGGATTGAACTTGTGTTAGTTGCATTTAAGGCAAATGTCTTAATCCTGTACTATCTCTCTCTTGTCCAAGAGCATACATTTTTAATAGCTGAATCATAGACAGATGGAAAAAAATGTAAACAAAGCCTTTGGTAAAAACAACATCTTTGATCTAGTTTTTGTAGCTTGTTTAATAACTAAAGGTCAGATATAGAAAATGTTTACTAGTTATAGACCTAAATGAAATAGCTTCTGAAGAGCTGGAATAATTGAATGTTTTTTACCTTACTCGAAACAACTAAAAAAATGTCAAGTATAGTTTTCAAGACAATGGCATCAGGTAAAGACAGCGATTACCGAAAAGTAAAAGCAACTAATGTGACTCCTATGATTTCACAACATGATGCCTCGAGAGCATGTAGAAGCCATAGTGTAGGAAGGTGATCTGAGGCAGAAAACTGGATGACTTTCCAAGAGTAAGAGGCCAAATTCAGAGGCTAGAAAGATTGGGTCAGATATTGCAGGGAAAAAGATGAGAAGAACTTCCTTTGAGAATTCTGTTGCATATCATTGAATTTTTAAAAAATTTTATTTAATCACCGCGGGATAGTTATAAGCTTTCATGTTTGAGTTACAATCACACAATGATCAAACCTCATCCCTCCACCAGTGCACATTTCCCACCACCAATATCCCCGTTATAACCTCCCTTTCTCACCCTCCCTCTGCCTCCATGGCAGACATGATTCCCCATAATCTCTCTACTTTTGGGCATTATGACATACCATTGAATTTACGCAAGCGAGAGAACACCTATTTTAAGAAAAGGATAGTGTCAAACATTCTGTCAACCCTGGGATTGTGTATGGTTTAACTAACAGATGCCAAAACTTTACAAATAATAAAGTCTGCAGGGCATAAAGTATTCAGGAGGATCTTGTCCCAGGAATGAGGAATATTGTACTAGGTAAAGCATGGTTCTCATCTAACAAATTTTAAAAGCAAGACTAAAATTATCAAACTGCTTCCAAATTACTCAACTATGTCCCAGACTTAGCTCAATAATATTTATAGCAATATAGTTTTAGTATTCACAAGGTAAAATTCATAATACGTGGCAAATAATTTTAAAAATAAGGTAAAGAAACAGGGAAATATAATCCAGCACAGAAGAAAATCAATCTATTGGAAACAACCTGAGACTGATGCATATTAGAATTTACCAGCAAAGGATAAGAAACTTAGCATGATCATAGGACACATGTTAAAGAATCAAAAGGAAAGATTTAATAAGTGTGTATAACTGTATCACTGTCATCCCACCCAAATTACTCAAGCAGGCGCTAGTAACGTCTCTAATCCTCCCAGACCTGAGATTTTAGCAGCCTCTTCTTACTCGTCTTTTCCCAATGATTGGAGGCTGTTTCATGGTCAGGGGAATGAGACCTGTTGTCATTACTGTATTTGGCATATTGAATACACCATGGAGAGCTTGCCAGGCTCAGCCCATACAGGCAGGATACTCTCGGTAGCTTGCCGGAATCTCTGAGAGGCATATAATTCATATATTTTTTCTTTATGATTTGCTGACTACTGTCTGAACCCCATCAGATATGGTGTAATAATAGTGGAAAATGGGTTGAAAATGTCTTATAATGGGTCCGGAAAGTGGCCTGGAGCATGGTTGGGTAGTGGAGGTCGGCTGCTGGGGTGGTCCCTTGGGGCAGGGAGGGCTTTCACTCTCCCCACAGCCTGGTACGGAGTCTGGAATCAACTAGCCCTGAAAATGGATGGTGCAGGAGCGTCGGGCCCATACTCGGCCGTCACTGGAAGTCGGTGGTGCGTGAGAGGGGCATAGGAGCACCTTGAGTACGGGCCTGTCCCAGAAAAACCCCAAGGACGCTATGCCACTGATAAGTAGGAGGGCCACTGCAGTGAGCCTTGAAACCTAGGGTGTGGGCCTGGGTGGAGCCACTGCAGGTGCAGATCTTGGTGGTAGAGCAAATATTCAAATGAGAACTTTGAAGTCCGAAGTGGGGAATAAGTGGGTATATGCAATATATTAAAATATACAAATGAACCATAATGTAATTATATTATCTATAACTATAATATCTGACCGCATTTGTAGCCTTGTGACATCTTATTATCTTATTTTTCCTTTGGAGAACCTGGCAGGCTACTTTTGTTTTTTTATTTATTTTTTATTTTTTTAATTTTTTTTCCCTTTATTTATTTATTTTTTTTACAGTTGTAGATTTACAATTTTTTGTGCTTTGGTTTCAATTATACAATGATCAGGTACCCATCCCTCCACCAGTGCCCATTTTCCACCACCATGGATAATATCCCTCCCACCCCCATCCCCCCTGTCTCTGTGGCAGAGCAATCCCCTGTGTTCTCTCTCTCCTTTTGGGTGTTGTGGTCTGCAAAAGAGGCATTGAGTGGCAAACATGTTCAGTCCATAGTCTACTTTCGACATGCATCTCCCCTCCTGGGAGGATCCTCCAAACATCCTTTATTTGGTGCTCCCTTCTCTATCTGAACTGCCCTTTCCTCTAGGATACCCGGCTGGCCTCTAAGTTATGGAGTAATCCTCTTGGTGCTGATCTCAGCTATTCTTGGGTATTAATCTCATACTTTGTTACTTTATATCCCCCAGATGAATGCAATCTTTCTATGTCTATCCCTCTCTTTCTGACTCATTTTGCTTAGCATGATACTTTCCATATTGTACCACTTGTATGTAAATTTCATGACTTCATCTTTTCTAACAGCTACATAGTACTCCATTGTGTAGATGTACCAAAGTTTCTTTAACCAGTCATCTGTTCTTGGGCATTCAGGTTTCTTCCAGTTTCTGGCTATTGTAAAG